AGGTGTTGAGAAAGGCTTTGGGTTTTGTGCTTGTTGTTGTAACTCATCTTCAGGTAGCCTGCTGATTTCTGAACTGTTGGCACAGACACCAAGACTCCCAGTGATGAGCTAACAATAAGTCTGAGCCCATCCCGATCCACTTTTCTGATGGTTTCTGTGTTGAATAAATAAATGTATTCTTTGTGTATATGACAGCACAATCAGTTCCATTTATGATGAATTTTGTTGGGATCTTATTTGGGGAAAGAGTTATCAGAGCTTAGATGGGTTTAAAAAATAGTCCTTTCATGTACATGCCACACTCCTTGATTTCCTTTCTCTTCCCTTGACCCTTTCTACTTTTCATTAACCACATTCCTACACAACTCTTTTCTGGAAACTCACCATGTTTCTTTAGTGAGCCATCCAAAAATTGTTTGTCCTTACACTGCAGTTTTCTGTGGGACTGAGAAACCATGTATGACTATAATAAAAATCCATTTTTTGAAAAGATTTGAGTGATTTGGTTTTATTTCTTTGGGGTTAATTTATGGGAATTCATGACGGTTTTACACCAAACATAATGAAGGCATTGCCTCTACCCAAAGGATATTTGAAGTATGTCAAGGCAAATAATAAATTCTGGTGTCAATTTCAACTCTCTTGAATGCAGTAGAAAGTGATGGTATCATTAATGCCAGAAAATTAAAGCATCCTCAAATCAAAATAGCAAAAATACCATAGCATAATCCCTCCCTGGTTCTCTGTGTATTTTTTTTAGCTAATATGTTGATAAATGTTCGCTAGTGTCAGACAGCCTAAGGTCAAATCTATGTCATATTTATGTGGTTTTGGGAATACTATTCAGTCTCTTTGTGGCTCAGCTTCCTCATCTATAAAATAGTACTCTCCTCACAGGATTCTAAGGATTAAATGAAATGAGATAATACATGTTAAAGTGCTTAGAACATTGTCTGGTGCATAGTAATCAGTCAATAAAATTTGACCAATAATTGTAAGATTGATTCCTGTTTCCAAGTTGGGGGTATGGAATCACTGTGCAAAATGATTGGATTCATGTCAACCCTCCCACCGCACTAATCAGCAGTTCAAGAAATAGAGGGAAAAGCTGAAAGGTCATCCTGCCCATCGCCCTTTTCTCCACCCCCCAGCTCTCAGCTGTTGTTTCTTTACACACACTCACATGAAGCCTAAGCAAGGCTTCTGTCCGCATTACAACTTAAGATCCAAGTTCTTTTCTTTTCTTCTATTTTTTTTTTTTTTTTTTTTTGAGACAGAGTCTCACTGTGTTGCCCGGGCTAGAGTGCCGTGGCGTCATCCTAGCTCACAGCAACCTCACACTCCTGGGCTCAAGCGATCCTCCTGCCTTAGCCTCCCGAGTAGCTGGGACTACAGGCATGCGCCACCATGCCCGGCTAATTTTTTCTATATATTTTTAGTTGTCCAATTAATTTCTTTCTAATTTTAGTAGAGACGGGGTCTCTCTCTTGCTCAGGCTGGTCTCGAACTCCTGAGCTCAAACAATCCACCCGCCTCGGCCTGCCAGAGTGCTAGGATTACAGGCGTGAGCCACCACGCCCGGCCTTACCTCTTCATTTTTTATAAGTCTTTGAGATAGCCTGCACTTGGGGAGGCAGCATTTTACAAGTTATATAGTCTTTTCAAATAAACAGAAACCTCCCACCTCCAAGCAGGACTACCTGGGCTTCCCTTCCTATTGGCAAGATTAACTCCGTGGATAAAAATAAAAAGAACAAGAACAGACCTTTCTTATATCATTTTCCGTATTATTTATCTGCTTCCATTGTGCTTACTCAGCTAACACTATCAAGAAGTCTGAGAAATGAGCCCTACCCTCAGGGTGTTTGATGCCAGAGTTGGCGTTTCTTTATAAAGAATCAAAGACTCATATTTTTATGTAAGATTTACAGAGTTGATTCCATTATTACTGGCCCTTTATTTTTTTCGCTTTGAAAACATCATTTTAATTAAGGTCTTGTGTGCTTTTAATAATCCTCTCCCCCATAGACTGAAATGCCCTACTCAAAACCTCTATGTCCCGTTTACTCTACAAAAGCCAAGGATATTTGTTTTTAATCAACTGTTTGAATAAGAGTTTCCACCTAGTAAACTTGCAAGCAGCAATTCACAAGTTTTTATCTCTGATATCTCCCTTCTTTCTCTCTTAAGTAGTTATAAAATATTCAGTTGAAGAATAAAGCTACTGGCAGGGGTGTCTTATTCATGGATATAGTTAGGGTAGTAACCCCAGAATGAGGTCCTCCCAGTGTCTTATCTCCACCAAAGACATAAATTGGCTTGAGAGTTATTTTTGTGGTTTGTGTGTGCGGTAGTGTCAAGCTCACTGAGAGAGTGCTATAAAAATGTGTAAAGGAACCCATAAGTTCTTACTCAGATTTCTCACTTAAGCGTTGGTCTTTGGAAAACAGTCCCACATAGATCCCAATTCAGGTGCAATGAAGTTCACCTAGTGAGAGCGAAATCAGCTTGAAGAACAGTTCAGGGGAAGTGGAAAGAAGGGTGAGTGACAGGACAATAGGACAAAAGGTGAGGGAAGGCAGGGGCAGGACCATAGGATGAAGCAGTACAGAGAGAGACAGAGAGAGAGAGAGAGAGAGAGGACGCCAGAGATTTATGTAACATCTTAAGGAGCAGATAGGCAGGGAAGGTTCTGCAGCCCACATGCATCTGCTCTGGAATCTGAAAATTACTTTGGAGCGTTTTTATTTTTTATCAGTTCTTCTGCCTGATGTTTCACAAAGCTTTAGTTCCTATCTGGTGCAGCACACAAGGAGCCACTCAAATATTTGTTGACTAATAAAAATTGGGAAAGGAGGAAGATAGGGCAAGTGATGAATTACTTTTTTCCCCATAAACCAGAATCTATTTTCTTCTGTAGAGACAGGGTCTTGCTATTGCCCAGGCCGGTCTCAAACTCCTGGCCTCAAGCAATCCTCCTACCCTAATCCTCCTGCCTTGGCCTCCCAAAGTGCTAGGATTACAGATGTGAGCCACCATGCCTGGTCAGCTGAGAATCTATTTAAACTATAATCCGAACCACTTCTATCTGCCTGGAGAGCAAGCCCTCAAAAGGATCATGCAGACTAGTTTCCTCACCTGTGCATTGGGACATTTTGCTTCCTCCCATATGAAGAATCCTGGATTTTCTCATTCTTTTTTCATCAATCTTTAAACAGGGGGGTAGGAAATAGAGATTGTGGGGAAAAGGATGAGATGGTGGGTTGGGGAAAAATTGTGTGTGTGTGTGTGTGTGTGTGTGTGTGTGTACAAAGTCTAAACAGGAGACTGGAGTCAGAAAACCTGGTTTCTAATCCACTGGGCCAGTAACTTGTATGGCTAGTCAGTTGATCTGCTATGCCCTGTTTCCTCATTTTCCAAGCAGAAATATTAATATACTTATTCTATAAACTTCACCAGGTGGCACTAAAGATGTAAAGAAATGACATATAAGAGCATTTTGAAAGGACAAAATTCTGTATCAATTTAAAATAGTGGAATTAATAGGGGTGGTTAATGGAAAGAGGTTGAGAGGAATATTACTGGATTAGGAGGAAAGGTCAGGATGGGAGTGGAGAGGGAGCTCCTCCTCCACCTGACAGATACTAGGAAAAGCCAAAACATCCTCCTCAAACCACAAATTTAGCCAATACTTTCTTTATCTTGAGACATCTCTGGAAAAAGGGTTTTTCCTTTTTCCTGCTCCCCTGTGCCAGGGATTTTCATTCATTTTGTGGTTATTGTGTGCCTACCATATGCCAGGCAATGTGTTTATTAGCTTATAAATATTACTTCATAATTAGCCCTAGAGGACAACACTTATATCTTCAAAGGACTTTCACAGGTCATCTCTTATATTCTCCTTGTTGATGCAAATGGTAGTTCATCCTTCACCATTTAATATATGGAGGAACAGAGGCCTAAAGAAATTATGCGACTTGACCAAAGGCCACAGTGTGGTGACGAAACCAGTACCCAACTTAGTTAGGTTTCTGACTCCCTTCTTCCCATCAAATACGTATTGAAAGACAAGAAGTTACTAAGATGTGTCCTGCAGGCTCTTAGGCAGAGCTAGTGTAGGAGGGATCAGCAGAGGTTCCCAGAGTCAGGGCATCCTCTGGTCATGGACTCGAGTCCTGTAGAGAGGATGGGCTTTCTACACGTCAGTGCATCAGGGAAAGATACCTAAGTAGCAGGAAGTTTAAGCCTCACCTATAACTTATATTTAAGCCAGTTAGTATAATGGATCATGGCTTTGGAGTCAGAGAATTCTATTCCTGCCAACATTTTTATAGTGTGTCTGCAAATCCCTCAGCCATTCTGAGCCTCACTTTTCTCCCCGTGCAATGGAGATCATAATATCCACCTCATACTTAGGGTTACTCTCCCGAGGCTCACATAAGGCCTGAGGCTTTGTAAACTGGAAGAAATGTGTATTAACATTATTAACTTCTCTCCCACCCCATCCCCCAAAGCGTCGACACCCTCCGAAGCACAAAACTTTTCCCCAGCATTTGACCTGCCCAGGCCACTCTACCACCCAGGGAGCGCAAATTCCTGATGCCAGGTCTGGGTGGCGCGCCCTCCCAGCTCACGCTCTTGTTTGTGTTTGCGGTGTGGGAGGGAGACGATCCCGATCTCGGTCGTCTCCGGTCTTCACGAGTCGGTGTGTCTCTCCATTATCCACTCGGCCCGCTCTGCTTGGTCTCCCGGCAGGTCCGGCCGCTCTGGCTTTCCGGCTCCACCTCGCGCCCCGGCTGTCCGTCCGCGTGCGGGTCTCTGCCCCCTGCAAGGCGTCCTCGACTGGGTTTAGGTCTGTCTTCCCTACCCTGGGTGAGTCAGAAACAAAGGCGGGGGGCGGGGAGCGCACGAGCTGCGGCTCCGCGATTCGCCCTTTATTCTGCACTGGCAACGTCAGCGGCCCGCGGATGGAGCTGCGGGGCGCGGGCTGGGCCGCCCACAGCGCGCCGGGCCGGGGGAGCGGCCGCGCCGGGCCGGGCGGGCGGGCGGCGGGGGCGCGCTCGGGGGCCCGGGCCGCGTGGGCGCCGGGATGGAGGGCGCCGAGGGGCGGGGAGCGGGCGTGCGTGTGTGTGCGAGTGCGAGGGAGGCCGGCCTTTAGTGTAACCGGAGCTACAAAGAAGGGGAGAGTCCGGGAGAGGGAGGGCGGGAGGAAGGAGCGGCGGCGGCGCCGGGGCATCTCCGACACCCTCCTGCTGCGAAGGCGCCCCCTCGAAGCGGCCTCGGCCCCGACACGGGGCCGCCCCTCGGCCCGTGGCCCCGCGCCCGCGCCCACCCGGAATGATGAAGAAGAACAATTCCGCCAAGAGGGTGAGTGCACCCGCCGGCCCTGCCACCGCAGCTGACTCCGTGCTCCGACGACCTCGGCCCCGTCGGGGCTGCGATCGGCCGGCGCGAGACCCCGGCTCCGGCCGCGCCTCCGCCCCGCCCGCCCCGGCTGCCGGTGCCCTCGGCCTCGGCCCTCCGCCCGGGTGCGCCCGGCTCCGCCGCGAGGCACCGGTGGGGGCTTTTGTTTGTTTACTTGCGTCGGGGGGCTTTAACTTGGCTTAGTTTCTGCCCGACCCGCACCCTGCCCCTCCCGTGGGCGACGGGCGGCCGCTGGCATCGCGCTCTGCGGTGGCGAGAAGACAATGAGAAATAAAATAGATGCCGTTAGTCCCGGCGCTGCGAGAAGACGGACTGGGGGAGGGGGGACCTGGATGGAAACCATCGGAGCCACCTCTCTGCTCCGGCCCTGCCCGAGCCCCTTCCTCTCCGTTTCAGTTGTTTATTCTGCAGGGGGGAGGGGAGCGATGGGGAAGAGAGTTCCTCCAAGTGGAAACCTTTTAAGAAGTGGGGACCGAACCTTGGGCTCCCCGACTCCAGCCTTCGGAGGGGAGAGGGGAACTGAGGAGGCCGTAAGAGATGGAATGGAGAGAAGGAAAAAGCTATAATCACCTAATCGTCTGGTTCTTATCTTGCCCCTGGGGCAGGGGCCTCTGGATGGAAACCATCAGTCTGCACCGCCTGAGAAGGTCGGCTGGGTCCGGAAATTCTGCGGGAAAGGGATTTTCAGGGAGATTTGGAAGAACCGCTATGTGGTGCTGAAAGGGGACCAGCTCTACATCTCTGATAAGGAGGTAGGTGCCCTTTGCCTCTAACTATCCGGATTTGTTCACATTCCACACTTTATCACTCCACAGGAGGCTCATCTAAATCCACCCCCCATTTTCTCCAGAAGCAAGTTCAGCGGTCCGATTAGTCTCTACACCCTCTTGGCTGCAGAGAAAGGTCACCCTTTAGTGGGGAGAACTGAGTGCGAATTAAAAGTTGAGTTTGCCTCTTATCTAGTATTTTTCCTTTGCAAATACCTTTCTGATAACAATGATAATCCCCTCCCAAGATGTCCCAAAAGTTCCGAGTGTCCCTTGCTGCCTCCTATCCTATCCTGGCCTCCAAAATATAGAATTTTTTTTCTTTGTTGTTGCTGCTGAAACTCTCTGTTCAGCTTATTCTCCACCCCTTCCTGTCCCCTACCTCAACCGAGCTAGCCTCGTTTTCCTGTCTGTAGCAGGGACACGCACAGGTCATATCAACAGTGCGTCCGCCCTGAATCATAGAAAACACGCATGCAGCCCAGGGTCAGTCTCCTGTGTCCTCCGGTAGAGTATCTGTGAGTGGCAGATAATTATTATGCTGAAGCCAGTGTCCCTAACCAGTATGCTCCTTGTTCCCCACCCTGACTCCACTTTTCTAAAAAGGCGAGGAGCTCATGTTCCACCCACTGCCTGCCCACCCCCCATTTGTATCAGAAGGGAGGAAAATGGAGTTATGAACCCCTGCATGTCTCTGGATAGCTTCGGCTCTGTAGTTAACCACCAAAACCACAGTCCACACTGGGCCAGAACCTGAGCTCAGATCACTGAATCCATACTCTTCTCCCTTTTCTCCCCAACTCTTGGGATCAGTAACACATAATAATATTGAGAAACTGGAATTGCCCCTCCGTAGGTTAGAAGTCATTCCAATCACTACCCCTGTGACTGTGTCCCTGGTGACTGTGTGGGTACAGCCTGGGAGACTGTCCTGTGTTCCCGTTAAGGTGACCCTTCCCCAATCCCGGCTTCCCTCACCCAGGGCTAACAGGGAAGTCTTCCCCACGTTCTAACCTCTTCTGCTTTCTGCAGTAGACACTCTTACTCGGTAGATTATAGTTAGGTAAATAAATCCTTTTATGGTATTGAAACAGATCCACATGTAGTCTAAGAGAAAGTACTTGTCTGAAAAGAACATCTACTGAGGCAGCTAGGGAAGAGCTAAGCTGTGCCACAGCCAAAGCGATCCCTCTTAAGGATGTTGAAACCCAGCTGTTTACACTTAGCTAGGAACTTGGTGATGGAGACTCTTAGGAGTGAGGTGAGAGAAGACTCAGGAGGACTTGTTTTTAAGGGTTTCCTCTGGCCAATCACAAATCCTACAGAAAGTTTTCTCCAATATTTTCTGGCTTTCTAGTTTAAGAAAAAAAAAAGGCAAGTGTCAAAGTGTACCTCCTATCTTTCCTGAACTTCATAATTGCAGGAAACCGTAGTGAGCAATCAGGGAGAACTTCCTACACGTCAAAGGGAAAACATAAGAACAGTGAAAGGGTAGAAGGAGTAAGATATTTTTTTCTTGTTTGTATTTGCCCAAAGAGCAGAGTCTGGGGGCAAAAGAGTGTGTTTTGTGGAGGAAGGGGTACAGAGGCAGGGGAAAGGATGGAATGACCTCAGCCTAGGATGTTTAGGATGTTTAACGTCCTATGAGTCAGGAGCATCTGACTGGTTACAGAGCCAACTGCCTCCTGCCGGGAAGGGCACAGGAAGAGAAGACTGAGCATATTGCTGTTTCTCTTTAGAGCCAGTTTCCACGCTACAGTGGGCATGGGTTAAAGGTGAAGCTGACAGAGGACTCTAGGTTTTATTCTGCCCACTTCCCAAAAGCTTCAGAGCCAACAGATTCAAGATTTAAAAAGAAAAAATGCAGCGTATAATGTTTGTAATTTACTGTTAATCCAAGAAAATGCCTAACCCTCTCCCAGAATTTGTACCAGTCATTTTTTGTTACTTCCTCTCATAAAGGCAGAGTATCCCACAACTGCCTCCACCACCTTCTGTGTTTGTTGTTAATCCTCTTCCTCATTCTCAAAGGGCACTTTTTCTCAGAGAGGGTAGAGGCACCTTACAAGCACAGGCTAATGTATAGGAACAGAAGCTAGACCATAGGGAGACCCCATGGTAGAGGAAACTGGGTTCAGGGCAACTCTTTTGGCAAGCATGGGAAAAATCCCTTTCTGTGGGCAAGGATAAAGAATTGGGGGAAAGGAAGGTTTAATTTGGAAGATGGGAAATTATAAATGAAACTTTGGGAATTAGATAGGGGGAAAAAACAGAATACAGTGGTGAACAAGGCTCCTGGGATTGTCCATCTTCCCTGGGCACTAGAATATACTTGTCCTATCGTTGGCCTCATCCTGTGTCCTACCCCCACCCAACCAAGGGCTAACCTCTGTCAATATCTCCTCTCCACAGAGCTCCTTATCAGCATGTGTCCAAGCCAGAATAACTCCCTTCCCTTCCCCTAAGGAAAACAGAACAAGTTACTCTCTTCCCCTGGCTACATTCACACACCCAGCACTTTCCTCTCCAAGGTTTCTGGACTCTGCTGATAGTCTCCACTCTGGAAAAGGAGGGGGAGAGGAGGGATGATGCATCATCCTACATCCCTGCCCCATGTTTCTGGGAATTGTTCTCAGACACCCCTTGCCAGCACCTTGTCCCATTTCCACCCATAATCTTTCAAGGCCTCTGGTCACTTCCCAGCCCAAAGCAAGGGAGCCTCCCCACTGGGGGAGGGCGTGAACCCCAGAGGAGGCAACCCTTGCTCAAACAAATATGGACATATGAGCAGTCATGCACCTGAATGGAGCTGTCGTCAGCCCAGGGTACAGCAGAGTTCAGAAGGACGGACAGATACAGGACTATAGGTGGGCTGGGGATTGAGAGAGAACCGCTTCCCCACTTCAAGGCTAACAAGAACTAGGGGGATAGATGAGGTCACACCTCCATGCACACAGTTCCTCTTTCAGAACTTGGGAAGTAGGGGCTCTGCTGTGAAATAATTCCAGTCAGGGAAGGTAGATGTCTTCCAAGGAAGATATGAG